TTCTCCAGAAATAGCTGAGAGAACTGCTCCCAGGTAAGTGCAGGCGATCCGACTGGTCGGGTCAATGTATAATCTCTCCACCACCTCTTGGCGGAACCCGTCATCTGAAATACAGCAAAATCGACCTCATTGGTCTCAACTATACCCATGTTCCGCAGCACCTCATGGCAGCATTTAAGATAATCCTATGGGTCCTCAGAAGGTGTACCACTAAAGTGAATTGGAAAGAGCTTGGTAAACTTATCCAGTCTCAATAAGGCCTCAAAAGACATGGAGGGCCTATCACCGATCTATGCCGCAACAACTGGCTGAACTACCCCAACTGGCGGGGCTGCTGGAGCCTGATTCTGGGGAGCCATCTGCTCCGGAGCGGGAGTAGTGGGAGTTTGTGCTCCTCCCCCAGCCTGTGAGACTGTTGGTGCCACTGAAAATGTACCATTCGTGGCCACGCCCTCCATAAGACTTACCAAATGGACTAGAGCATCCTGAAGTACTTGAGTGGCTATGAATCTTTCCGGGACCTGAACTGGTCCAACTGGTACATTCTGAACTGGAACCTCCTCCTGAAGGTCCACCTGAGATTCTATAACAGGTGCAGCTGATCGAGCTCTGGACTGAGCTCTACCTCGGCCTCTGCCTCGGCCTCTAACACGACCTCGGCCTCGGCCTCGACCTCTACCCCTAGCCATAGTTGCCACTGGGGGTTCGGGTTCCTGTCCATCGGTAGAGGTATTATGTATTCTCACCATCTATGAGAGAATACGAGTAGAATGGTTCAATCATCGATGATAGAATAAAATCTCACGACAGAATAAGAAAGAAGTGATATTGTTCCTAAACTTCATAGTCTCTGAGAGATAAGTACAAACGTCTCCGAACCGATCCTTCAGACTCTACTAAGCTTGCTCGTGACTCGTGAGACCTATGTAACCTAGTGCTCTGATACCAACTGTCACGACCCAAAATTTCCATCTTCGGACCGTGATGGTGCCTAACATTTTACTTGCTAGGCTAGCCAACGTTAGAATAATATTATCTATTTTTAAAACAATTTTTATATTATTAATAATCAAGGAAACAAAGACGGAAGCAAAGTTTGAAACATAGTGAAATAATCCCCAAAAAAAATAATGGTGTCTAAATACCATCTCAGAATTGGTGTCACAATTCACGAGCATTCTAGAATAATATAAATAAATGTCTGAATAAAATAAAGCTGTCTGGAAATAAACACAAAGCTAAAGTAAAGTAGCATGGGACTTCAGAACTGCGGACGCCATGCAGTTATACCTCAAGTCTCCTTCGAATAGCTAAAATCCGAGCAAATCTATGGCACGCCGCTGGGACCAACTCCGAAATCTGCACAAGAAGTGTAGAGTGTAGTATCAGTACAACCGACCCCATGTACTGGTAAGTGTTGAGCCTAACCTCGACGAAGTAGTGACGAGGCTAAGGCGGTTCACTTACATTAACCTGTACGCAATATTAATAACAACAATAAATAATAGAAATAAATCAGGTAACTCATTTATAATAATTGAAGCCAACTCAGCAGTCATAATCCATTATTATTTCAACCAATTCTGTTGCAGCGTGCAACCCGCTCTCATAATATATTCTTTTTAATCAAGTCTGTCATATATTTATTTCAATCAAGTATATATATAGACTTTTAAATAAATCTGTTGTGGCATGCAATCCGATCCCCCAATATTGACTTTTAATAAGTCTGTTGCGGCGTGCAATCCGATCCTCCAATATAAACTTTTTAATAAGTCTGTTGCGGCGTGCAACCCGATCCTCCAATATTAACTTTTTAATAAGTCTGTTGCGGCGTGCTACTCGATCCTCCAATATTAACTTTTAATAAGTCTGTTGCAGCGTGCAACACGATCCTCCAATATATCCATTTCAATCAATTCTTGTAGAAGAAATTTCTCCAATAAATGCAACAATTAATATAAGATTATAAGACAACATGCATATAATAATTATGATTTAATTATAAAACAAACAATGACAAATAGCAAATTATTATAGAAATCAGGGAGAAAATAGGCAGTTTAATATTTAATATGCTATATGTCAAATAGCAATTAAAACACATAATTCAAATAGCATGTAACAATTAATGCAGGAATTCAAGAATTAATATTTGACAAAGAATAAGAGAGAAACAATTATTATAATAATTAATTTATGATTAAAAATAATTTATGATTTTTCAAGTAAGCAGGCAAACAATTAATTTGACGACGTATAGACACTCGTCACCTCGCCTATACGTCGTTCACATGCAATTCACATAACAAATAATTTAAGGGTTCTATTCCCTCAAGTCAAGGTTAACCCCGACACTTACCTCGCTTTGTAAATTCCAATCAATTATTTAACCACAGCTTTTCCTTTTAAATTTGCCTCCGAAAGCTTCAAATCTATTCACAAACAATTCAATATATTCAATATTAATCAGAGGAATTAATTCCATATGAATTTAATAATTTTTCGGATAAAATCCGAAATTCATTAAAATATTCGGCAGTGAGACCCACGTCTCAAATCTAGGAAAAACTTACGAAATCCGAACATCCATTCCGAGACGAGTCCAACCATACAAAAATTATCCAATTCCGATATCAAATGGACCTTCAAATCTTAAATTTTCGTTTTTGGAAGATTTTAGAAAAATCTGATTTTTCTTCCATAAATTCATGGATTCATGATATAAATGAGTATGAAATCATGAAATATAATCAATATAGGATAAGGAACATTTATCCTAATATGAAAATCGCCCAAAATCGCCTCTTGAGGTTTTAGGTTTTGAAGATCTAGGAAATGAATCAAAAATCTCGTCCAAAAGTCATTTTGTTCAGTTGCAGGTGTCGCAATTGCAACCTGAGCTTCGCAAATACAAAGCTCGCAAATACGAAGAAACACTCACAATTGCGATGCCCTTCACAATCCCGCTGCCTTCGCAAATGCGAAGATTATGTCGCATTTGCGACAATTGGCCCTTCGCAATTGCGAGAACTGCTGGCCTAAGCTTTCTTCGCAATTGCGATAAAAATCTCGCAATTGCCATACCTGCTTGGTTCGCATTTGCGATGCCTGATCTCACAATTGCGAGATCAGAGGCCTGCAACAGGTTCAGTTATACCAGCAAAAGTTTTTAAGTTCAAAACATCCCGTGGCCTATCCGAAACTCACCCAAGCCCCTCGAAACTTTATCCAAATATCCCAACAAGTCCCGTAACATAATACGGACTTACTCGGGGTCTCAAATCACATCAAATAACATCAAAATTGCAATTCACACCTCGATTCAGAGTTTGAGTTTTAAACTTTTTAATTTTCAATTTTTGTATCAAAACATATTAAATGAATCCGGAATAACTTCAAATTTGGCACACAAGTTATAAATGAGATAATGGAGCTATTCACATTTCCAGAATCAGATTCCGTCCCCGATATCAAAAAGTCAACCCCGTGGTCAAACTTGGAAGTCTTTAGCCTTTAAATTGCTAGTTCTATTAAATGGCCATAACTTGAGTTAGGGACCTCCAAATTAAATTTCGGGCATTCGCCCAAGTCCCAAATCACGATACGGAGCTACCGGAACTGTCAAAATACTGATCCAGGTCCGTTTACTAAAAATGTTGACCCAAGTCAACTCGGTTGAGTTTTAAAGCTCTATTTCACATTTTAATTTATTTTTCACATGAAAACTTTTCGGATAATTTTACGCACTGCGCACGCAAGTCGAGAAATGATAAATGGTACTTTTTGAGGTCTTAGAACACATAATTACTTATTAAATTTAAAGATAATATTTTGGGTCATCACAACAAAAGTCCTCAATTATCGGATACCTCCTCAAATGGAATACGCAGTGGTCAATACCAAATCAACGATCACATCTCATGAAAACGCGGACTCCTTATCAGGTATTTCATACGATTCTGACGAGGCGAGCGGCCCGGTCCCAGAAGAGTGTTTCATAGAACTGTCGAGGCGAACGACGTGATCCCATAAGAGTATGGTACATAATTCTTCCGAGGCGAACGACCCGATCCCATAAAATATAATACGTGATACTACCGAGGCAAATGGCCTGATCCTATTAGAGTGTGTTACAATTTTCTGCCGAGGCAAGCGACTTGATCTCATAAGAGTGTGTTACAATATCCTGCCAAAGAATGGCCCGATCCCATAATAGTATGTTACAATATCCTGCCGAGGCGAACGGCCCGATACCATAAAAGTGTGAAGCTTTTACGAGTCTATGACCCCACTCACGAATATACGTGTGAGTTATGGAATTCAAGAGAAACTTTCTGATGAATACGCACAACGCAGGAGAAATCTGAAAGAGAAGTACAATTCTTACAACTAATCAAGTAGCTCGTTACATATCTAAAATAGTGAGTCTAGTCTCAGGTCATAATGTGAATTAAAGTAATTAAACATGCAAGAATAACTCAATTAGTACAATTAAAGCATGGCGTGAATCAAAGTCTACCCAGACATAATTAGGAACTCTAGCATATGCACAGACACTCGTCACCTCATATGTGCGTAGCTCCCATAACATGTAGCATGTAATAAGTATAACACCTACAGAGTAAATTCCCCTCACAAGGTTAAACAGGAGACTTATCTTGCTCCGAAGTTCCATAACCGGCTCCAACGCCTCTCTAACACCTCAACCGATGCCCATTGATCCGAAACTAGTCAAACAATGTGCAAACCAATAAAAATATACACCAATACTCATAATTTAACAATTCATAACAATTCTAACTCCGCTCGAAAAGTCAACAAAGTCAACCCCCGGGATCACGCGCCCGGATTTTAATTTTTTTTTTAAAGATAAACATTACCCATAACACCACAAACTCTACAATTTCTATCAAATTTCATGTTAAAATCCATATATAACCCATGAATTTAACTCGAAACAAGTAGGAATAACTTACCTTATGATATAACCCATGTATTCATGTTTCGAGCTCCTTACCGAGCGCATCCCGTTCCGTAATGGCCGAGTCCAGTTGAGATTGGAGGTCTTTGATTCGTTGAGCCCGTGCTTCGACTTTCTCTCTCGCCATTCGTAGTTGGACCTCCACCAATGCCAGCTGCTCCCGAGCAGTCTCCTTCTTCGAAGCCAATCGGTCCATTTTTCCTTTACACTCTTCGGCCAAAGCCTTGACCTCTTCCATCTCTGCTCGAAGTTGGTAGATCTTGTCAACCTTCTGCTGGACTTGCGGGGTATGGACGTTAGTCACTATGTCTAACTCGTCATCATTAACTTCAAAAATATTTACCTGTTCCACCAGTTCGGCATGCTCCTTCTTAGCCACATCCAACTCAGCCCAGAGACTCTTGACTTCTTCTTCACGTTGCTCGCTGAGAAGCTTATACAACTCAGCCCGGAGACTCTTGACTTCTTCTTCACATTGCTCGCGGAGAAGCTTATATATGTCCCTCTTCTCAGCAAGCTCCTTGACCTCAGCCTTGAGCTAGTTGTAACCTCAGCTCGGTACCGGAGAAAACTTTCATGATGAAGTACCGAGGCCTGCAAAACTATAAAAAACAAAAAGGCATGATAGATATCAAAAACTAAAATCGAGGATGAAAGAGTGTAATGACGCCTTACCTGGTTCAGCGTCTGCTATGCTTCATTGAACAAGCACGGCGTAACCACCTCATTCAATTTCGCCTGATCTTCTTCAGTTGCCAGGCATTGGAGGTCGCTAGCTACTCCAACGGGGGCAGTAAGAACCTGGGCGTCCTCTGGGACGGTGATGATTATTGGCTGCTTTCGGCTGGGATCCATACTCGGGGCGGGGAACCGGTTGATTAATTTTGGGCTCGGGTTTAGCCCGCGTACCTCCAAAGATGGATCTTTCCTCGTCACCTCCAAATCACCCAACCCGGAGAAGTCTTCCAGGGCAGTTGAGTCCATACATTTAAAAAGGAACGAAGGGGATCATCCGTACCATGGGCCCCTTCACTGGATCGCTCCTTAGTTGCTCGGGCTTTGTCGAACATAGACTCGGTGAACGAAAGCGACCCTAAAATTTCTATGACACCAAGCAGAGCTGAGCCGGCGTCTCGAGAGGTCTCGTCCCTCACATCTACATTAACCTCCTGAACATGAGGAGGATCAGCCTCCGTTATTTCCCCCTCGGCTGCCACCCGCTCTTTGGGGAAGGACGACTCATAGGCCACAAAAATATCATCTTCCTCGGGCTCGTCCCTAAGCCGGAAAAGCGAGTTCAAGTCAAGCGCTCGGGATCTAGAATTCTTCTTTGGCTTATGGGCCAACCTTTTCTTTAGCCTCTTCTTCTTTGAACTCGGAGCCCTCCTTCTCTTCTTCTCTCCTGCTACGGACCCGAGTTGGCCCGAAGCGGAAGGATCGACGAACAGGTCTTCGCCCCCTACTAAAGGCCTAAGCATAATTGTCTTAGGCAATCCTGCAAAAAAAAAAAGAAGAGGGAATGAGAACATGGTGCTGAAAACAGGGGCCTAATGTTACTTATTCGGGAAAGAAATCATACCGTGGGAACGGGCCTCTCAGCGGCCATTTGAGAATTCATGCCACGAGCACTCAGAATAAGACATCTACGAGCCAATTCCCTCGATCCACTCCTTAAGCCGAGGAATGGTGTTTGGGACTCGAGCAAGGGCTGCACCACAACAAATACCGATGAGAAAAGGGAGATAGAATATAAAATCAAAATTTAAAAGAAAGTGATGCTTACGTGATACATTCTACTTATAGGGGAATGGCTTGAACTTGTTAGGGATCAAGTCTGTGGCCCTCACCCGGACAAAATGTTCCTGCCAGTGCCTATCTCGGTCCTCGTCGATACTTGAAAATGGGGCTTTGCTATCCCCGTGTACAAGCTTTATCAATCCCCCAGAAGATTTGGGGACTGTACAAGTGAAGTAGATGATTGATGGTGAACAAAAAGGAGTCAATTTTGTTCACAAAGAACCAGAGAAGGATTACGATCCTCCACAGTGATGGGTGTATCTGACCGAGGCACACTTCATACCTCTCACAGAAGTCCAGAATAACCGGGTCCACTGAGCCTAGTGTGAAGGGGTAAGTGTAAATACTTAGATACCTCTCCACTGAGTAGTAATGTCGTCATCGGGATTACTATGTCCTTATCCACCCAGCCGCAATCCTTACAAACCGTAGGAAGGACGTCCTCGGTGATGGAGCAAATATACCTAGACATCGCCTCATATCGGCCTTGCACCGATGAGGGCTTTTCGACCTTAAAGTCGTCCGTGCTCGAACAGCAGAGAACCGGTGATTAGTTAAACATAAGATTTTTACTTTTTATGGAATTGTACGTAGGGTAAAACTCCCCTACTATATAATGGGGGGTCTGATTATTCATTAACAACATTGTAACACGCACATGAAGGCAATATACTCTTATTTTCTCTGTTATTCAAAGCTCTTATTTTTGTTCATTGAATCATCAGTAACGTGAGTCAGGGATTGAAGGCAGGCATTCCATTAAGCTATTACTAAGTCCGGGACCACTCCTCATGATTGGTTTGACAATTTATCACGTCCTTTATCTGTTTAATCTAACGCAATTTATCGTTTGTATTGAATTAATCCACGTATCCTTAAAATCACCTATAAATTTAATTGTTAGCCATTTTTCAGGGTAAACAAATGTATAAACTATTTATGAACTGTCAATATATAAAACTTAGATCAAGTGCAGCTACGTATGCTCCGGTCGATCCAAATGTAACTCCTAAATTTGTTCATCTCTCCCGTGGTGTTAAACCCGATTGTTAAGGAAAGATTTAGTCGCACTTGTTGCATACATCATAGATAAAAGCGTCTGATATGTATAAATTATAATTAATAAGTAGATATACCTTAATTTTATTTAAGTTTAAACATTAAAGGATTACACATAGTCTGATTTGGAGTAAAAGATTTTCCCACTCTGGTCACATTCCTTCCCCCTTGTTACCCCTTCATTCATCTATTCTACCTATAAATAGCTTCCATTTTTCCTCTCACAAATCATTCTTTTGTAGTATACCACAAAGACACACACCGTTTTTACCTCTAGAGAGAGGTTTTTTTTCTAAATAATGGAGCTATATTTGTGTCTATATATTTAGACACGAAGTGTGCGGAGAGACTGACTACTTTTTTTCCTTACGCTGTCTCTAATTAATTGGTGCAACTCGGGTGCACCTTGCTCAGATGCTATCGGCGGCAGATTCATGAGCAAAGATTGCGCCCGATTTGCATCAATTTAATTGGGACAGCAGTAAATTTTGAATATCTTCGGATCTTTCTAATGAATTTAGCTAAATTTGAATTTCACTCAATTTGATTCAAAATCAGGTTATCTAAATTTAAGTTATCTATGACTTTATTTAATGTTTCTATCATGTAACAGACTGCATTTGAAGAGGTCTAGGCTTATTAGCTAAACAATTGTAAGTCACAACTGCTAATATAAGTGTCGGTGCAAAAGTTGTAGAGATGCAAGGATACATGACCGCAACTAGCCATCTTTAAAAACGACATTCAAGTTGTAGTACTTCTTTTCCATTCTCCTTTTCGTTTTCCTACATTCAGTAAAAATTAATATACTTGACTCTAAGAATGACGAGGATGTTATCTGAATGGGAATTAAAAAGTGGGATAACTATTTTAATCGATATTTTGGATCTTGGGTCCGATTATTCTGGGTTAAAAATGGTTTACTCGTACGTTAGGTTTCAACAAGGTAAATGACATGACAAATAATTCCATTAAGAGAGTGAGATTTTGATAATAGTGACCTTCTGCAATATATATATATATATATATATATATATATATATA